TCGAAAAAGTAACCAATTTCAAGAATTGTGATGATTAGATTGACTAGTGCACATATTGATTGAGCATTGAAAAGAATTAGTTATAGTTGCAATACTTAAGAACATTTTTATAAATTGTCAAACAATTTCAATACCTGATGCGAGATCGACAAAGTTATCTAATACATTTTGTAATTTTGTTTGTTCGTTTGTATGTTAGTTAGTAGATAGTGTTCGAAATGAACAAAAGTTTTATTTTGAGAGTATATGATGTTGACATCAAAATTAGCAAGGCTAATCTTAAGCCAACTTTAAAAAAATGCGATTTATTGTTGAAAAAGACCACAAAATATGTTTAGAAAGTGTAATTGTGCCACGAGTTGTTATATGAATTCACTTGCCCTTTACAAGAGTCCCATTCAACTATTTATACATAATTTCAGCCAAAATTACATCAAATCAGCAACAGTACCGAGCTCGAAACTCAGGTCGTCGAATTTTCCTATGATTGGTCGATGAGGCTGGTGGCCATGTGTCAATATTTTCCCTAGGTAATGATGACCTGCAAGGGGCTTGAGGATTAGGACTTAGGATTGGTAGTTTCGGGCGGCGATGATGTCACTTGCGGCAAGTGTATTTGATTGATAGGGTGATGTGACAGGGGATAATTATTATGTTTTTCTGAGATAACGACGGGATTGTCCAACCTGGGAGTAGGAACCGAACTCCCATTTGCTTGAGGTGGGGTTAGCGAACTGTTTTAACTTAGATCGGAGTACGGTTGTCAACAGTTACCCCCAGGTTAGTTCTGCCATGGGGGGGCTAACCTCAGTGATGCTTTCTCCAAGAAGTGCATTTATTGCTGCGCCAAGTGTCATCTTTTGATAGGGATGAGCTGTACGACATTTGTAAGTAGCTTCTTCAGCAAGCTTGGTTAAAACTACGTCGTTTTGGTCTCTCAGGCTTCTGAGCCGTTGATTATTCCCCCCATTTCTGGATAGAAGGTTCAGATCGTGCCCTCTCAGTTTCTCTTTCTTTAAATTCCTTTTGGCCAGTCATTTCGCCTCCTATTTCGCTGGTTTATTATCTCTCAAATATTCGGGCAATCTCTTGAGTTCGTTTTTCCATTTTCGAGTGAGGTTGTTTTCCTAGTTCATTTCCTAGGTATTTTTTTGTTCTTATTTTTCTTCCTCCTTTCAGTTTGTGCTTTGTTTCCTAGTTTATACATGAGTTTGGACGAGTCTAGAGTTCATTCCTAGGGAAACCAACAGCAAGAGTCAGTCCCCGTTTCGACGAGTTCGTCCTCTAGTTGTAGGGAAGTTTTCACCCCTGTTCCTATTTCCATAATTAACCCAATCGATTTAGGACGTCCTGTCATGGACTTTGGATGTTAGGGTTCTAAGGGAGAGGGTAGATCTAATAAGGACGTTGAGGAGAGTAATTCTGGAGAGTTGGGGGTGAGTTCTTACAAGTCGGTTGTAACAGGGGATATGTTAGCCAGCTGGCGAGCTAAATAGGCTATCCCTAGTTCGGTAGTGATGATAATACCAGAACCATCTGACCGGGCTGACACTCCTCATGAGGGATGTGTTGCTCTGAACTCAGCTATCCTTCAGGCCAGCCTTAGACTTCCCTTTCCTAGGGCTATTCGTAAATTCCTTTCTTCCTGGGGCATATCTCCCATGTAGCTATGCCCTAACGGGTGGCAAACCTTAATTGCCGCCCTTATTCTGTGGGACCAAATGGGGAATCCCGAGCTTAGTGTCCAGTAGTTCGACTCTCTATTTACTTTTAAGGAGGATGGGAAGAACTCGGATTGGTGGTACACAAGCGTTAGGCCCAGGACGGGAGGTTCTTTGGTGTTAGACAACGCTTCCTCAATTAAAAATGGAAGGAAGAGTGGTTCTATGTATCCGGGGAGTGGCAGTTTCATTCTGTTGAGGTGAATAGAGAGGACGTGGTCCCCAGGCTCTATCATTCTTTACGTAAGTGTTTTTGGGCTTTAGTCTTTTAGCAAGATGTATGTTGACGAAGTACTGACTTCGGTATTTTTCCTTTGTGCAGATTACAAGAAGGAAACGTTAACCAAAGATATGCAGAGACGAGTTGAGGTAATAAGATCGTTACCCAAAAGGCAAAGGTCCTGTAAGTTTGTTATCTCAGATTCGAACTTATTCCGGGCCGACTTGGCAAGTACGAGCTTCAAGTTTGGCTCCTTCCAATTTAGGTAATATTTTGACCCTCATTCGCGGTTGTTTGCTTTATATATATATATATATATATTGAGCGTTTTACTATTTTCTCAGCTCATCAAGACGAGATGCGGGGCTACAAGGCAGCAAAGGCAGTGGCTGCGGCCAAAGGAAAAAAGAGAGATGTCCAGCCGTTCTGAAGAGGTGGAGGAGGAGGAGGTTCCACTGAAGAGGAACCGATCTGCATCCCCGACAATACTGAGGAATCCTGAGGCTGTGCCTTTATCGAGCCCGTCTCCCATTCTGCCATCGCCTTCTTTGCCATCCCCAGTTGCATCCTTTGCTATCGGGGCCAGTTTTGTGAACTCGCAGGAGAGGTGCCTAGATTTACAGAGGCCTAGCTTGGAGAGTTTGGTGGGACACTAACCAGTGATATTTCTTGATTATCTCCGACCTCCTTCTCCTTCCAGGAAGGTGACTGCCGCGCTCACTTCACCATTGAGGGAGTCAGCTAATTTGCTTACCCAGAGCTGGGGTGAGAGAGAGTAGGGCTATCTGAATGAGATGCCCATTGGTGAGGCCTTGGTCACTACTCAGCTCTATGGTCACCCATCAATTTTATACATGATGGCAGTGACGAACAAGGTATACTTCCTACTTTATGGTGTTTTTAATTTTTTTTGAACAACTGTTTTATTGACTTACTTGATTTTTGAAAAACAGGTGAAGTCTAAGCTGGACAAGCTTATAGAGGCAAAGGATCAGACCTTTAGTCTTTATAACAGCATAGAGGTTGAAAAGGCCCAATTTGCTCTGAAGGAGAAGAAGTATAAAGAGAAGCTGAATCAGATGGGGATCGAGCTGAACTCCAGGATCGACATCGAGGAAAAATGGGAGAGATCAAGGCCTTGAGGGCCTCAGAGGAAGAAGCCAGAGCTTGGGTTGAGGAGGAGTGTGGCAAGGTCAGGGAGGCCACCAGAAGGGCTGAAGAGTCTGAGGCCAAGGCTGATAGAGCGGTGGAGGCTTGGAAGGAGTCCCCCGAGTTTGACATTGTAGCCCAGGACGTCTACGTGGAAGCACTGGAGGAGCTGGTGGGGCACATCAGGAAGGAGAGGCCTGACATTGACGTGACCTTTCTGGATGAAGTGCTAGAGGGGCAGAAGGAGGAGCTGCGAAAAATGTTTGAGGCTGCTGGAGTTCGGATATTACAGGGTTGTTCAAGATGTTGAGGGTAGTACCCTAGTTAAGACTGGACAAATCTCCTTAACCGAACCGAACCCAACGGTTCTTGTCAAATTAAATACCCGAACGGATATTTTATATTAAATAAATAAAATTATTTTAATTTTAATTTTTTTAAACAAATTAATAAATTCTAAATCCAAATTTTTGGCCCAATAATTTGTTTCATTTCTAAGTTTTTAATTTTTGGCCTAATTACCCATTTTATTGTTTCATTTCTTGGCCCAACAAAGATCAAACCCACTAGATAACTCTAAATACCTACACTAAAGTGCATAACGCTGTCTCGACTCTCGTACTCACTCTCGCAGCCTCGCTGACATTCCAAAACCTATACAATCGCCGGTCGACACTGGACCTCAAATCGAAGCTGTGACTTCCACCAATCGAAGCTTTGAACAAAGTAGTCTACTAGTCTCTGACATTTCAAAAACATTGAATATATCATTAGTTGTATTTATATGATGTTGTTATAAATGTTAAAAAATTTAATTATAGTACGAAACCGAACCCGAACGGTTCCATAATTATGTTTGGACCCGACAGTTCCATTTACTATATACCTGAAAATTTTGATTTGATTCAGTTCTCTTTAGAACCGAACCTATCTGACCTGCGCCCACCTCTAACCTTAGCCTCCCAAGACCCCTAGGAGGGTTTTTTTTTTGTCTTGAAAACATTGTTTGGTATTTAGTTTTGTAATATGTTTTGGCTTATTAGTAAACTTAGTTTTTATGTTTCATGGCATTTTGTTTGGAATTGATGACTTTTTATGCTCAGTATGGTTTCTTTAGTAGCGATCTCGTTTATATGTGACAATACCTCACAAGCTTAGCTAAATTTGTATGAGTGTCATAGTAGCATGTAGAATTGCTTCGAATGAATTTTACCAAACAAGGCTTATGCATTGGGCATTTCTACTAAGTGTTGTACCACATACGGCCTTAGCTCGGCCTGCGTATGGAGCAAGGCTTTGAGAATTCCTTAGGAGAAATTTCGTCTAAGTGTCGCAGTACATGCGACATTAGATCTGCCTGTGTAATTTCGTAGAATAACGTTAGATCAACCTGCGTAAAGGGCAGGGCTTTGTTGGATTACTTAGGAGGAATTTTCACTAAGGGTCGCAGCACGTACGACCTTAGATCGACCTGCGTATGGAGTAGGGTTTTGTAAGATTTCTTAGAAGGAATTTTCTCTAAGGGTCGCAGCACGTACGACCTTATGGAGCAGGGCTTTGTAAGATTCCTTATGAGGAATTTTCACTAAGAGTCGTAGCACATACGACCTTAGACCGACCTGCGTATAGAGCAGGGCTTTGTAAGATTCCTTAGGAGGAATTTCCACTAAGGGTCGCAGCACTTACAACCTTAGATCAGCCTACGCATGGAGCAGGGCTTTGTAAGATTCCTTAGGAGGAATTTTCACTAAGGGTCGCAGCACATACAACCTTAGATCAGTCAGCGTATGGAGTAGGGCTTTGTAAGATTTCGACAGAATGTAGAACAAGATGTTCAAAAATAGGAAGTCCCTTTTTATTGATGCGATTGACATTACAAGCGGGCTTTATGTGTCATAGACTTTTCCCGTTCACTGATAGTACTTCTTAAGGTGTTTAGCATTCCAAAGATGGGGTAAGGGTCTACCCCCCAAGTCTTCCAGTTCGTATGCCCCTTTTAGTAGGACCTTCGTTATCAGATAGGGACCTTCCCAATTCGGACCCAGGCATCCACTGCCTACCTTTCTTATGGGGAGAAATACCTTCCATAAGACGAGGGATCCTACCTCGAATTCTCTTTTTCGCACTTTTTGATTGTAGTACTTGGCGTTCCGCTGTTTGTAAACGACATTGTTCCTTCTCTCCTCGGCTAGGTCGAGTTCCATACGAAGAGCTATATTGTTCTTTTCTTTGTCGTAATCAGTCATGCACAGTGAGGGAATGCTGACTTCTAACGGGATCATAGCCTCTACGCCGAAAGCCCCTGAGAACGGGGTTTCCTCCATGCTAGTCCTTGCAGTGGTGCAATAAGACCATAGCACACTTGGGAGCTCTTCGACCCATCTTCCTTTAAACAAGTCGAGTTTTGCTTTCAATGTGTGCTTAATAATCTTGTTAATGGCTTCGACTTGGTTGTTTGCCTGCGGATGGTTCGGCGTTGAGAAATGTTTCTTGATGCCGAACTCTTTAGAAAAATCTGAAAGTCGTGCGTTGTCGAACTATTTTTCATTGTCCGTAACAATGGAGTGAGGTATGCTGGACCTACAGATGATTGATTTCCACAAAAAGTCGGTTGTTTTTTGTTCGGTGATCTTGGCAATTGGCTCTGCCTCGGCCCATTTGGTGAAGTAATCAACTGCGACGATGATGAATTTTATACCTCCTTTTCCAATGGGCATAGGTCCAATTAGGTCAACCCCCCATTTTGCAAAGGGCCAAGGTGCTGTTATTGGGTCCAGTTCGCATGGTGGAGTATTTATGATGGGGGCGAGGCGTTGGCACTTGTACCATCTTTTGACAAATTCAAGGGAATCACGTCTTATTGCAGACCAGAAGTATCCATGTCGTATGATCTTGTGGGCTAGTGAGAGCTCACATGAATGGTTTTCACATATTCCTTCATGAACGTCTTGTAGGGCATGCTGAGCTTCTTCTTCGTTCAAACACCTTAACAAAGGTGGAGAATATCCCCGTTTGTATAGTACATTGTCCATGAGTGTGTACCTCGCCGACCTTATTCGGAGCTTTCTAGCCTCTGCAGAGTTTTCGGGACATTTTCCGATTTTTAGGTAGGCGATGATCTCATCCTGCCAGGTTGGTTTGGGGTCTATCATCATAAAGACCACTTCGGCCAGCTCGATGGACGATAGGGATATTCTTCCCACAGGGATGCTATCGAACTCTTCGATTCCTTCACTGGTAGCTAGGTGGGTCAGTGCGTCGGCGTGACCGTTCTGAGATCGGGGAATTTGTTTGACTTGGGTAGTGTTGAACTTTTCAAGTTCTTTCCTTGCAACTCATAGGTAGTTGTCCATTCTTTCTTCTTTCGCCATATATACATCGTTGACCTGATTCACGACTAGATGGGAGTCGCTGTGTATGATTAGGTCGGAGATCCCCAACCTTGAGGCCATCCTTACTCCGGCAATGAAAGCTTCTTACTCAGCCTCATTGTTTGAGGCTTTAAAGTCAAATGGCAAGGCTTCGCAGAATATGCGATGTTCAGGGCTGATTAATATGACGCCTGCACCAGATCTTTCTCCGGTGGATAAACCATCGACATAAAGTTTCCATGGGGTTTCTTTCTGTAGTTCGTCGATTGGGACGTTGCAGAACTCAAAGACAAAGTCGACGAGTGCTTGGCCCTTGATGGAGGAACGAGGCATGTATTTGATGTCGAATTGTCCGAGCTCGACTGCCCATTTTACCATCCGACCTGAAGTGTCGGGTCTTTGCAGTGTTTGCCTCAATGAAGAGTTAGTGAGGACCTCAATGGGGTATTCCAAGAAATATGACCTCAGTTTTCGCGGTGCCATCAGTAGGGTGAATGCCAGTTTCTGTACAGGCGAATATCTGAACTCGGCTTCGTGAAGCATTTTACTTACGTAATAGACCGAGTGTTGAATATCGTTTTCTTTTCGGGTTAGAATGACACTAATGGCATGCTCTGAATCAGATAAATAAAGCTTCAAGACCTCGCCTGTCTTAGGTTCTGAAAGCAATGGAGGCTGAGCTAGTTGTCGCTTTAGCTCATTAAAGGCATCTTGGCATTCTTTGGTCCATTCAAACTTCTTTCCTCCTCGTAACGTGTCAAAGAAGGGTTTGCGACGGTCCGTAGACTTGGAGACGAACCGGCTGAGGGCGGCAACCCTTCCGGTTAAACTTTGTACCTTTCTAGGTTTGGTTGGAGGCTTTTTTGGATAACAGCTTGTATTTTTTCAGGATTTGTCTCGATTTCTCGATTGTTTACAATGTAACCTAGGAACCTTCCAGAGCTGACCCCGAAAGCACATTTCTTTGGGTTCAACTTCATTCCATACTTCCTCAATATATCAAACATCTCGGTCAGGTGCTGACAGTAGTCCTTGGCCTTGATGCTTTTGACCATCATATCATCAACATACACTTCCATTATTTTTTCGATCTACTGGGAAAACATGGAATTCACAAGTCGTTGGTAGGTGGCGCCAGCGTTTTTGAGACCAAATGGCATTACTCTGTAGCAGTAAAGACCTCGGTCAGTTACAAACGAGGTATGTTCTTGATCTGGGCCGTACATCGGTATCTGGTTATATCCGGAATACACATCCATGAAGCTGAGTAGTTCATGTTCAACAGTAGCATCCCCCATTTGATCTATTCTTGACAAAGGAAAACTGTCTTTGGGGCATACTTTGTTGAGATCGGTGAAGTCTATGCATACCCTCCAATCTCCATTGTGTTTTTTTACAAGGATCGAATTTGTGACCCACTTTGGGTATTTCACCTTACAGAAAAAACCATTGTGCAATAGTTTTTGCACCTTCTTATTGAGTGCTTCATATCTTTCAGGGTTAAAAGGTCGTCGTTTTTGCTGCTTTGGCCGAACTGAAAGATCCACCTGTAATTTGTGGCATGCGATATTGGGATCTATTCCTCTCATGTCCCCGTGATTCCAGGTGAAGACATCAAGGTTTTGTTTAAGGAAGGCCACAATCTCGCTTCAGGTGGAGGGCTGTAGCTTGCGCTCAACTTTGAGCTCCTTTGTTGGGTCCTTAGCACAGACTTGAACTCCTTCTAGTTCTTCGACTTGGTTCTCCACCTTCGATCCTGGTCCGCGGGTCTAGTGGAATGAGTTTGGATTCCCATATGTTCGCCATATGTACTCTCGGGGGGTTGCGTTGATGACTGGTACAGGCTTTCCATTGACATCTTTTGGTGAACTCCCTGTTTTCTTTGACTTTACCCACACCATGGGGTGTGGAAAATTTGATAGAATAGTGATATAGGGAAACTGCTGCTCTTAGGTTGAAGAGTAGGGACTCTCCCATCATAGCATCATAAGGGAAGGGAGTGTCGAATATTACGAACTCGAAGTTCGTCTTCACTTGTCGGGGTGCTGATCTTGACTCAACTTTGGCAGAAGTCAAGGCTCCGCTTAATCCTAGGACCATATTTGGGTATGGTCGAAGGAAGTTAGCAGGGATACCCATCCATTTAAGGGTGTTACTGAATAGGATGTTCAGAGCGCTTCCTATATCCACCAAGACTTTGGGGATGGTTACCCTGGCCACAGGCAACGAGATTACCAGAACTCCGAGGCAAGGATGTGGGTCCGCCTCCTTCTCGTCAAAAGACAATTGCTCGTCTGTGGCTTTTTTAAGGTTCTTCTCAGTTATGCCGATCTCCGAGAGATCCACAACGATTAGTCTCTTCAATCTGGCTTCCTCGGCTTCTATGTTCATCCTGCCCCTTAGCATATTCACTTGTGGCCTTGGCAGGTCGACATTGCAGGCCCTTGTAGCAGCTTGATCTACTCGGATAATTTCTATCCCGTAAGGAGTGGGAAATTTCATGCAATAATGATAAATTGATGTGACAGCTTTTAGCTCATGGAAAATGGGTCGTCCCAATATTGTATTTTAACTGGATGGCAAATCGACCACCACAAAATCTGCTAGGATCATTCTTTGGCGAGGAGTTTCACCCAGCTCCACAATAAGGACGATCTGACCTCAGGCTTCAATAGGATCCCCAGAGAATCCCTGTAGTTTCGTTGGGTACGATTGGAGGTAGTGTTTTGACATTTCTAACTGCCTCAAAGCTCGTGAGTACAGTATATTGACTGAACTTCCATTGTCTACCAAAGTGCTGTGGACTTTTACTCCGGCAACCGTTATTGTAACCACTAGGGCGTCACTCTAGTCTTGAAGGATTCCTTCAGAATCTTCTTCCGTAAACCAGAACCATTCAGGGTCTATACCGATCTGAAGGGTTTGATTCCAGTAATTCGGCATGGTTCTTGCACTTCGAGCTTGTCTTCGTCTTGCCCTTCTGGATCCCTCAGTATACTAATTTCCTCCCACCATCATTTTGATTTCAGTATGTGGGGGTGGATTACGGTTAGGGATTGCCTGCTTAGCTCGTGTGGGAGGCCCCTACAGCAGCAGCTGCTGCGTCGTAGGTTGATCTGCTTCTTTTGGCTTGGTAACAAACTCCTGTAACCAACCTCTTCAAATTAAGGACTCAACTTTCTCTTTTAAGTCTCGACAGTTATCAGTGTCATGGCCCACCATCCTGTGATATCGACAGTATCATCCCTGATATTGCTTGTCTGTCCGTCCTTTAGGATCATAGGTCTACGAAATGCCTCTTTTGCATTGGCTTGCGTGAATACCTGTTCCAAGGAGGCTTTGAGTCGGTGGTACTCCCGAAATTTGTATGGCTGAGCTCTAGGACGTTCTCTTTCTCTCATGTCCTTCTTTCTTTCGGGTTAGGGTCTACGACTTGGTTTTTTCTCCTTCACTGTATTGCTAAGGTCGGTTTCGCATCTGGCTTTCTCTTGGTTAGAGGTTGCTTCTTCAGTACTTATGTATTTCTCAGCTCGGTTTAGGAACTCGTGATAAGTCTTTGGATTGTCCTCGTGTACTAACCACCAGAATCTTGTTCTGGGCCTTAGTTCTGCTAATACGGCCATGAGTGCCGCATCATCAGATATTTTTTCCACTTCCATGGATTGCCTGTTGAACCTGCTCAGATAGCTTTTGAGGGATTCACTTATTCCCTGCTTGATGCTTACTAGTTGTTCTTTGGGCATGGTTCTGGCCTTGGAGCCTATGAACTGGGCCAAGAATGTCGTGGCCAGATCATTCCAATTCATTACCGACCTCTCGTGCAGTCTCCTAAACCATCTCTGAGCTTTGTCTCCCAGAATCAGGGGGAATGCCCGGCACATGATTGCGTTGCTTGCCCCCTATAGTTCCATCCACGAGGTGTATTTGTCAAGGTGGCTGAGGGGATCACCATCCTCTTCGTATGCGGCCATCTGGGGGATTTTCAATTTTTCAGGTAATGGTTGCATAAGGACATCCTTAGTGAAGGGAAAATGTCGTTTGGTTTGGTAATCTTCAGTGCCACCTTTGTTTTTAGCCTCCAGGTCGGCGATCCATTTTTTAAGCGCCCTTAGTTTGGGTTCTGTTTGTTCTAAAGGACGTTTCAGGTCGGTTTGTCCTTGCGTAGGAGTCAGCGAGTGCTGGGTCCCCAATCTGTCGAACACACTTGCAGTCCTCCTCGCCCTGGGTTCCTTACTTCTAACCTCGTTAGTTCGGCTTCTTGAGGATTCTCCTCTTGAAAAGTGGAGAATCCTCCTGGTGGGGGGGGACGCCTTGCCTTTGTCTTTACAGGGGATTCCACCTCGATATCTGGTGGGGACGAGTGGGCTTGACTCCTTTCCAATCGTCCCACTGCATTTGTCAATTTTTCCAGGGCTTCCTTCATGGTTGTCATTTGAGGGTCCTGTCGTCGTGGAGAACTTGGTGGTGTATTCGTTTCATGAGGGTGGGTGTGAGATGGATTTCTGGAACTTGAGCTATGACTCATGGCTCTCGAATTTTGTGGAGAGAATGAGACTATTTTTCACAATTAGGGCCCTCCTTCTAGTGCCAAACTGTTGACGTCTAAATTAGCAAAGCTAATCTTAAGCCAACTTTAAGAAAACGGGCGATTTATTGTTGAAAAAGACGACAAAATATGTTTAGAAAGTGTAATTGTGCCATGAGTTGTTATATGAATTCACTTGCTTTTTACAAGAGTCCTATTCAAATATTTATACATAATTTCAGCCGAAATCACATCAAATAAGCAATAGTACCGAGCTCGGAACTCGGGTCGCCGAATTCTCCTGTGATTGATCGACAAGGCCAATGGCCATGTGTCAATGTTTTCCCCAGGTAATGATGACCTGCAAGGGGCTTGAGGATTAGGACTTAGAATTGGTAGTTTCAGGCGACGATGATGTCACATGCGACAAGTGTATTTGATTGATAGGGTGATGTGACAGGAGGTAATCATTATGTTTTTCTGAGATAACGGCGGGATTGTCCGACCTAGGAGTAGGAACCGAACTCCCATTTGCCTGAGGTGGGGTTAGCGAACTATTTTAACTTAGATCGGAGTTTGGTTGTCAACATATGATATTGGGACTTATATTCTTATTTAATTATGTGTAAATTGAGCTAATATCTACTTAAGTTTGTATAATCATGTTAATGTAGAAAAACCACAACTAGAGTACAATCGGCGTGAAAAAAGGTAAAATTTGAGCTTAATTGAAGTTGATTCGAAACAATTGAAAATTAACTAAATTGCATGTGATCAATTAGAAGAACTAATAGAGCACTTAGAAGAAATTCACAAGTTTTGAAAGTTAAATTCAATAATTGAAAAGTTTAATGACGAAATTGCAAATTATGAATCTTGCATCGGATCAATTATTGATGATTTTCGGACGATGAAGACTGAATTTGGAGGATTTAAAGATGGAGGAATAAAATTGCACATAGAGAGAAACTCAATCTAAGCAAGAAGAGAAATTTGGGACCAACATGAAGGAGGAGAACATTGTAGCCCTTAAAATTACAAAAGCAGTGCCCAAAGAAACTGGCATCTGCGATCACACCGCGAATTTTTCCTTGAAATCCGGTAATGTAATCCATCCTTTTTTTTTCTTTGTTGTATTTTTCTTCTCCCGTGACGTGTAACTAAATGATTATTTGGAATAAACAATTGTAATCTAGTTTTTTGAACTTTAAATTTGATTATGGCTGGAATTTTGATTTTCAATTGATGTTTGTGTAGTTTTTTTTTCTAACTTCTTTTTTTAATGTTTTAAATTTCTTGATCATCAATTCATTGATTTATGAATGGTAATTATGTTGAGAGGCAAATTATTTATTTAGACCAAAGTAAAATTTTGCTATTTGAATAAAAGGGTAGAGATGCTCTTTTATGGTTGTCAATGTCATTAATTAAATTCTTTTGTAATTGAAAAGAAAATTGCTTGTGTTTTGGTGACATATACACTAACATTGGAAGCTTGCCATGTGTGAAAACAACAAGTGATGGAGTGACGAATAAGCAACTCAAAAAACTTTCAAAAACCAATAGCAATTTGGAAAAATTTAGTGGCAGCTTAGAAAATGTTAAAATTCGACAACAATTGAGAAATATTTGAAAAAAGTGTAATAGCAACTGGGATATATAACCCAAAGTAATACACAAGAAGATGTGCATAATCAAAGAAGTAACCAGCATACAACCAAATTTTTCATTCTTCTAATATTCTTTATGAACTAAGTTGACAAATAGACTAACATGCTAAACCAATGATTTTTTTAATTATTTTTTTATGTTTTTTAAGTGAAACAATATTGAAATGTTCAAGACCAAAGAATCGAAGAAAAAGAATATAAGAGGAATCCATCAATGATATTTTCTTGTATTATTAACATTGAATGTGATCACAAGAGGAAAGGCTAACATTACAAGTCCAGGCCCCAATGAGTCAATACCATGATTAGTATATTTTGAAAGGGAAATTCAAGTAAATGGCACTAAAAAAGAAGGAAAAATGTTTCACTAATCCTCAATACTATGGACAGCATTGTTTCCAAGCTACCAACTTATAGCACAGATAATCCCCACAACCAAACCCCTCTAATTAATGTAAATTGTTTCAATGTCTAAAGATTGTTCACACAAAATCAATCTTAGTCGAGTAGACCAATTGAGCTTGACTAAGATAAATTTGTTTTCTTATGGAACTTTTACCTTATCACAGTCAAGATAATGTAATTACATAGAAAGTTCACACGATTGAACTTTGTCAATATATATTAAACCAGGTCGAATTATTTTAGTAGAAATTTTTCTTTTTTTAATAATGTAATACATTCATTTATTTTTAATCACAAAGTGGATCATGGACTCAACAACCACACTTTTATGGTCTGCAGACATGGTCTTAACCAAGCTAACATGGCCAACTCAAAACTTGTTGGAATGTCTTTAACTTCTTGTTTTGAACTATTTACTTCTCACTCAACAGTCGACAGTGGACACTTATTTTCCTTAAAATCCCCAAACAAACCGGTCTTGCAAGTATCATAGTTTTTGAAAAGACATATGCCCCTATTTGGGCTTTATTTAAATGTATTTTTGGGAAAAATATATTTTAAAATAGTGATTTTTTGAATAATGTATGATTAAAAAAATTAAAAAAAAAATTGGGTTAACATGTAGTATTATTTTATTTGAGAATGTGTGGTTAAAAAGATGAAAGAGAAAAATACATTTTGGATAAAATGGAGGCCAAATAGGAGATAATCTTTTCATTTCGTGTTCATTTTGAAAATTGTTCCAACATATATTATTATTAATTCAAGAATTTATTCATATAATCCTACTGTAACTCCTATAAACAATAATTTTCTATCATACGGGATTTTCCTGAACCCACTAAGTTTATTCGATTTCTACAAATTTTAACACGAATTGGACTTTCTATATGGTTCATAATTTTATCTAGTCAAATCGAACGATTTGATCTAATAAATTTAGAGAATTTTTAATAAATGTCTCTAAATTTGAAAAATAAAACAAAATTTGACACTTTTACTAATAGTATTAAAAAATGTCACTTTTTGTTGTGAAAAGTCCAATTTATCCTTAGTGATACATTTTTAGGAGCATTTAATGCTCATTAATGCTCGACTTGAATGTCATTAATGCTATAAAGTAATGATTTAATTTTTGTACTACACACACACACACTCCATCCGTCCCAATTATATAGGTTAAGTTTCCCTTTTTTTGCCTCAAATATATAGGCTCGTTTCCTAATTTAGAATATTTTGTTTTGTTTATTTACCAATATACCCTTATTCAATTTTCCTCACTTAATATGTCAACTTTTTGAAATCATCCAAATACACACATTCTCACTTCTTGGAAACATGTAACAACTCTCATTTCTTCTTCTTTAAATTAAATCATTAAAAAAAAATTAAATCATTCAAATTCTTTACTAATTTCAAGAATAATTTACTACTACATACTGAAAATTAAATAGGGATAAACCAAGAAAGATCTTGACAAAAATTTATTTTCCAATGACATTAAAGAATATTTCTTAATTAGTGTGAAAATGAAACAAGCCTATATAATTAGGGCGGACGTGAGTATTATATTGGGTAATATAAATTTTTGTTAATAAAAAAAAAGAAAAAAAGAAAGAGATTTTGAAAAGTGAGGGTAAACAAATTTCTTCACAAACCATAACTTTCTAACCATTTTTCTCGTTTCTTAATAAAGAAGACATTTACTATTGAATTCATCATCCATTTTGAAAGATTAGCATACTTCAAATTATTTATATTTTTATCATATAACGTACTAATTTTGAAATGTTAAATACAACAATGTCATATTTATTCGAAATTTTAGAAATTGTTATTCATTGATTTGTTTGGTTTTTCCAATCTTTTGGAATAAAGATACGAATATCCTCTAAAAACGTTGTGAATGATTCCATATTTAATGCATCATTAAGTTATTTATTGGGAAGATGTTATCATATTGTAGTTGAGAATTGATTATCACCATTAATGTTTTTAATAATTTCTTCCAATCAAACCCAATAAATGTTTTAAAGGATTGTCTCTTTAATGATTTATTGTGCAAATTATTTGGGAAGAAGATTTTGTCATTCAGTAATACAATATTGATGACCACATATGATGAAGAAATTTGTTCCAATCACCTATATATATGCTTCCCGTCAGTTTCGAAAGTTCAACTATCGAAATCGATATTTTGAAACTGTCGGGTTAGACATTTCAACCGTTGAACTCGATATTTCAAAACTCTCGGGATAGACATTTCAACTATCGATTTCAACACTTGAAAGCTGTTGGGATAGACATTTCAACTGTCAGTTTGGCTATTTGCTATTATATGGATTTAATATCGACATATTAATTGTGCACAGTTCTTACCAATGCAATCTAAACTTTTTAGGTATGAGTAATAATTTGAGATTTATTGTGTCTCATGAGAGAATGTTTGTTCATGTGGATGATGAATGAAAGTGGAGATGAGACAAAGCGTATTTATAATCAAATTCTTGAAGAATTGTCTCCTACTATGGTCATTTAGTACACAACCACCAAATAATGTTTATTATAGTATTAACAAACTTCCTAGACACTAATTCTCGGCATTTGTATGTTGGTAACTTTTACACAAGACAAGATAATCAAGCATAACGGTTATACCAAACTAGACAATACGACGGGTATACATTAATGCATAGATACAATAATCATGACAAGACAATCGATTAATGTATATAAATCACTAATATCATCCAAATTTATTCATTGGATTTCCATATCATGAAACTTCACATCATTTCAAGTGAAGGATAATTATTGTATCATACATGACGATCGACTAAATTGAAAAAAATTGGGAAGTCCATGTAATTTTTTGCACTTGGCTAAGTATACTTAAACTCGACCATGATTATAATACATAACTAGTAACAGTTACACAATCAAGCTACATAACTGGCTAAACAACTATATTTTCGCAAACTAAAAAATAAACTGCTCATACACGAAAATAAGTTATACAATATTTTACAACCTGAAAGTTCAAAGATTAGATATATGAGCTTCATAACCTGCAAAGTTCTGCTATTCTCAATCAGAAGTCCATGTAATTTTTTGCACTTGGCTAAGTATACCTAAATTCGACCGTGATTATAACACACAACTAGTAACAATTACACAGTCAAACTACATGACTGGCTAAACAACTATATTTTCGCAAACTACAAAATACTGCACATACACGAAAATAAGTTATCCAATATTTTCCAACCTGAAAGTACAAAGATTAGATATATGAGCTTCATAACCTGCAAAGTTTTGCTATTCTCAATCCTTCAGAAAGGGACAACAATACTTTCTATTCAATAAATTTCAATTATTTTATATTTTTCCTCTCTTTTTACCACTCCTAATGTATTGAGTTCGATTCGAAACAGATGATATTCAAATTTGCTGAAGTGCGGTTTCTTCATCACCACCATTTCTTCATTTTTAATTGGATCGATAGCATTTGAAGGCACCTCTGAGACAACTCCTTTAGTAGAATATGGTGGTGACATGCCATTCAAGCACTCCTCCAATATCATTATAGTTTGTCAAACTATTCAAAAATCAGTAAAATAAACAAATACCGAATATCAAATTATAATATGTAATACATTTACTTCGTAACACTTGTAGAAGAGTAGATGATTTATGTTTTGCATTGTATCATAATTGTTAAGAAACAATAACCAACTATCGCAAATTTCAGATCATAACTCTCAAGAATGATAGTTTTATCTCGACAGATGGATTCCATAAGCACTACACGTGAATTCTCCATATGCTAACATGAATCAAATATTTGAATCCTTAAATTGAACCACAATACATCGAATTTAAAAACGTATCAACTCATAAATTCAGCCCACATTTAAATTAAACTCAAAATTTTCATCCAAACGACATGTGAGCTGACCATAAATCGATTCAACAACTCACTGTTAGTAAAAGATAAAAAAAGGTTCCTATATGCATTTAAATTATTGTACTTACAAATCGAATAATCAAGTATTTGAGAAAACATAATCACGGAATAAACACAACTCCTCATTCATCTAAAATTGAATCAATGACTCGATAAAAAATATCAAAATATATAGATAAATGAACAAGCTTACAAATAAATGTAACTAAGCTAATTCGGGGAAAAAAAAAAGAGACTAACTTCATGCAAACTTAAAATTATATTCATAACACAATACAACAAGAATTTAATTTAACGATAACACCTAAAACAATAGCATATTTGGAAAAAAAAATCTCGGTAAAACTTCAAAATCAAGTAAAATTGTCAAATTATACAACTAACACTAAACAAGAGCGTACTAAAATTTCATTCATTCTTACTTCCCAGTGTAGCCTAAATGTAATTCACTAAATAAGAGTGTATTTTCACTTTTTCATTTGCAGAACTTACATACCATTAAAAATTAAGTAATCCTGGTTCAAAACAATAGGAACACCAGTCGTTTTCTATTTAGGGGCTGTTCTCTTTCCCGTTTTCAAGTCGTTTTCTATTTTCAATTTTTCAAAACGATGAAAATGCGTTCTTTTTCCCATTTTCGAAAACCAGTTTTTGAAAACAAAAAAATGAATTACACTAAAAACACAAAACGACTAAAAAGATGTTTTGAACGTTTTGAAGCCAAAACCATGAAAAAGTAGAAAACACGGGAAATGCCTACATTAAAACCCACTCGTGACCTTCTCTCTCAGATATTCTCTCTCTCCTCGTCTCCTGTAAGATCCGTTCCAGTATCTTCTAGGGTTTGCTCTGCCTTCGCCCAAACAAGTCCGACGAATAGCTACACTCACCGATTTAGCTCCTCAGAACACCTGAGAAATTGCGTGAAGAGGTGAAAATTTCTGTCAAAATTTCTCATATTTTGTGCAAATTTCTATCAATTCAAGCCTCTGCGGCTTCCATGGGGTAGGGACCTAATGCCTTCTTCTTTTGGGTTTTTCATTTTAGCTATGAGATCATATTGCTCGCTGAATGAATCTTTTTATTGCTAGAATTTTGCACCTTTCTTTTGCTGTTTTACTTATAAATGGTTTAGTTCCATTGCTTTTTCTAGGCGTGCGTGTGTTGTGCCGCGGGGTGGGGAGATATTAATCAAATTAGCGATTGAGTTAGCCATGGAAATGATTTCGTAATCTTTCGCAATTGAGGATTCTTGATAATATGAGGCACGATTATGTTGCCTATGACTGGATACAGGATGAATGCAACAGATATTTAAATTTATGTTGAAAGTTTCCAAGTGTTTGATAGAAGTCCCCAATGGCTTCATCTTTTTTATTTTTATTTTTTACTTTCACTCTTCCATCGTTTTAGTTCATTTGCTTCCTAGAATACTATTCTGACTGATGAATCACTAGACAAAAAATAATAACCCACCAATGTTTCTAAGAGCTGCTATCCTATGCTTAGTTCGTCAATCCTGATTGTCTCTTTAATCTCAAAACTCTGCAACTTCTGTCCATCATCTACCCATCCTTTGATCCATCTCGGGATGTTTTTGGTAGAAGAGGAAATGGTTGGAAGCTTGTAATTGAACTGCTCCTTTTTATTCCATTTTGGCTTTTTGATAGAATCTGAAATGAAGTCCACCATTTCAAATTAAATGGAATGACGTCCTGACAATCTTGCTCTACTTTTCTACTGTAGAATTCTTGAATCTGGCTTTAGATCTTTATATTTTGGCAGCATATTATAGGACGGCATTATGCTAGTGCAAAATAAAATCTGTCTGAAGTTCAGTGCTAGGGCTACTTTTCGCTTATTTTCTTTCCAATAATTGTTTCATGCTAATTTAGTGGGATGCTTCAACCTTAGCTGATTCTCTGTTGCTTGAGCATTTTCAGTGGCAAGTCTGAAATTGTAAGTCATGCTGGACCTCGCTTAAGGCAAGTTCCCTTTTATGGACTGATCTTATGAAAGGAAGGTTCTAATAACATGACTAATTGGTGCCCTTTTCTTTGGGCAAGGCCGTGGGTTTTCTTTTCTTTTCTTTCCTCTTTTTTTTTCAACTTTTCTAAAATTGTAATAAATGTAATACTCTACTTATTTCCTAATAATTTGGTGTATATAAATATAGCTCCTATATGGGTGGTCACAGAGTTAGGAATCAGGAACCAATGTCCTGGTCAGACGAGAATGAACACACTTTCATCGAAATTCTTTATGAGAAAGTGAAATCAAATGTATTGCAATGTTCAACATTCACGAAAGACGAATGGGGTAGGATCAATGAAAACATGATAGCTTCAACAAAAATGGATTACGGGATAGATAGATTAAAGGGAAAGTGGAACCGCTTACGTAAGATTCATCGCATGTTCTCTGAACTTTTGGGACATACAGGGGTTACATGGGATCCAAATACCAACAAAGTTAATGCTGCTGAGGAAGTTTGGCAACACTTTTATACGGTACATGTATTTATTAAAGAATATTTTTGTCATTATTTTTTTCTTATCAAATTTATTTTTTTATGTTCAACACTTTGACAATGTGACTTCTTTTCCAATGGCAGATTAATAGGTCGGATTACAAGATGTTCAAGAGGGAAGGATGTAAGCACTACCACACTCTTGGGGAGATATTTAGTGGGACTACAGCTACTGGAGGATTATGCAAAGCCTCCACTCAGCTTCCAAACACATCAGAGGAAGAAAGGCAACTAGAAAATGATTTTTTGAATAGGGGAGTGCATGTACATGCAGAGAATGATGATGAAGTCGATGTGGTTTCTGATACTCGTCGATGTAACGAAATTGGTACATCAGGTGAACGACAACGTAAGGAACCTAAGATCAGTAAAAGTGATAAACTTGAGGCATGCATGGCACAATGGTCATCTACAGTTAGTATGAGGAATGAAGAAATTGAACTTAGAAAACTTTATCTGAAAGAAAAGCTTGCAAAGATTCAAGGAAAATCAAGTAATCAGTCAGATGTTGAAGTTAACAGTCCGGATCCTTATTCAAATGTCATTTGCATGGACATCTTAAACGATATTGAAAGGTTGTCTAATGAGGTTTATATGAAAGCAATACGGGCTTTTAATGATCCTAATTTCAGGGTGTCATTTGTGAAGATGCCAGAAGTAAGGAGAGGACCTATTTTGGAACTACTTTGATGTGACTGTTGTTTTAATTTTTCTAGTAACGTGTTGTTCTAATTTGTGATGTTGAAATACTACGTTAAAGTGTGACTATTGTTGTTCTAATTTGTGATGTTGAATGTTGAATGTTGAAATACTACGTTAACATGTTGTTTTAATTTGTGATGTTGAATGTGTGACTATTGTTGAAATACTACATTAATGACTATGGTTATATTTTGTTCACAGTATGGCCAGTGAATCAAGTGATGATGATTTGTTAAATATGGATGATTCGAAAGGAAATTTTGGAGATTTCATGATGCTTCATTGCTTTGCTGCACACAAAGGAAGTACCATTGGTAGGATGCCTTGTAGAACATCATTGCTTACGGGAAAAATGTACGTGCTCGAAATTTTGAATGGACATCCGGAAGTGTGTTATCGTAATTTTCGTATGCAGAAACACGTTTTTATGAATTTTTGTGATACTTTAAAAGAAAAAGGGTTGTTGTATGATGGGAAAAAAGTGAGTGTTGAGGAGGGTGTTGCTATGTTTTTGATGATTGTAGGGCACACGACACGATACAGTATAATTGGTGATAGGTTTCAGCATTCCAATAACACAATACATAAATGGTTTAAACGAGTTATCAGGGCTGTTTGTTCATTTGGCATTGAACTAATACGTCCGACAAATCAAGACATTGTGCATGAGCGAATTTTGCAGAAATATCCTTTCTTTAAAAATTGTATAGGTGCAATAGATGGAACACATGTTGCTGCTTGGGCTCCTGCATCGAGACAAATATCTTTTCGAGGAAGGAAAACTAATGTAACACAAAATGTGATGTTGACATGTGATTTTGATATGAAATTCACATTTGTGTATTCTGGTTGGGAAGGTACTGCTAATGATTCACGAGTATTTGTTGACGCTGTCACAAGGAGCTCAAACAATTTTCCAATGCCACGAGGAGGTATATTCTTATACTTCAAATAATTATTGCGAATTTATTTACAGTCACACTATGTAAGCCTTTTTTTCATTTTGCAGATCAATTTTACCTTGTTGATTCTGGATATCCAAATATGCCTGGATTTCTTGCCCCTTATCGAGGTCAAAGATATCATCTGCGTGACTATGTTGGACGGGGAAGATTACGTGGGAAGGAAGAATTGTTCAACTATAGACACTCATCGTGCCGTAACATTATTGAACGTTGCATTGGAGTTTTAAAGGCAAGATTTCCTATTTTGAAGTTGATTACCAACTATCAACTTAGTAGGCAAAGACAAATTCCTATTGCATGTTGCGCAATAAACAACTTTATTCGTCAGGAGCACGCTTTAGATAAGTTGTTCGTACAGTATTCGGAGGAGAATATGGTGTTTCAAGATATCCCGGAGTCAAGTCAAGATCAAGAAGTCATAAATTTTGATGCTAGTCAAACAGCTCAAATGGGACAAGTTAGGGATCAAATTGCTACACAAATGTGGAATGACTATTCAAGACGTCGTATATGATTTCGTGGATGTAGTTTATATTTTGTTAGTGTCTACTTGTTTTGTAATGACACATAAACTTCGAAAAATATCTATTGAATTATTCGTATTCAGGATTTTGAATTATTCTAGTGCTTTCTCATGATTTGAACTGTGTTAAATGTTGTCTTCTGGTAAACAAGTGAATTATTTTGAAAGAGTGCATATTCGGGAAAGCTTAAAGTAAATTGTTGGGCTAAAATTGAAGTTGGTTACTAGTTTAAAATGGAAATAAAATTCAACGGCTAACATGAATTAATTACATAAAGTTCAACTAATACTATATTTAATATTATATTAGCATTAAAATATTCACATTTGTTGAATAATCAGATTTTTGGAATAAAATATTATTAAAAAAATTTCTCAAAATTTCAAAGTAAACGCGTTTTTCAGTTTTATGTTTTCAGAAACAGTTTTCCAAAATGACAAAGAGAACGTATTTTCAGCAATTTCAAAACAGGCACTCAAAACACAAAACTCAAAATGATTTCAAAACTCAAAACACAAAATCGAAACACAAAGAGAACAGGCCCTAAATAATTCTACCCAACATGACATGGAAAACATTTGAAAATCTCAATTATTTTAGGAATTTGAATATCGTCACTTATTAAATCGAAACCCTACATATGAATTTCGTGTATTCTTGATTTTTATGAAATAAATATGGTTGGGGAACCCTTAACTCCCATCGACCTTCCTTGGTGGACCCTAAAAAGTCACTAAGGATGTGTCCGTCTTTACCAAAAAAAAAAAAAAAAAAAACCCTACATATGAATTTTCCCTCAACTTCAAATTGCAACCACTCATAACACAAATAAAACACAAACTATTCAAAACATTTAAATCTTAAAAATGAAAATGATATTTACCCGATGTAAACTTGGAGCCAAATACGAGCTGTAGGATATTGAACTTGAAATATACTCCGACTAGGTATGGTTATCGATCATGAGATGGGGAAGTGGTTATTGTGGGGCGTAAATTCTTCAAATTCTTCTTCACCATTTTGTGTGAAATGAGTTTAGGAAGTGGGTTTGCAAAATTGGGATAGGTACAAAATTGCAAAATGGGTTTAAAAAGTGGGGGGTGTGGTTTTATGTGATATTTTTTTTACTTTTTATACTACATTTCATCTAATCAAATCAGTTTTAATTTATGACATGCAAGGTATTTAAATCTTCTAGAGGGAGAAAAAAAAAATCAAAAGTGACATTCTTCAAAGATTATTGAAATGTGAAATTTTTGAAAATGTCAATCCAAAAAAATCACATGGTGTGCAATTTTCTCCTAATAAAAGTATTTATTGTAACTCCTACACTTGTACATCTTTGAGTAATAATACGAGTAAATTGTTTAAAAAAGCTCAGTAGGAAAGAGAAACTAAAATAAACAAAAACATTTTAATCTATAAGTTTGCAATTGACACACACTAAGAAACATCTAATTTTTTTTTTTTTTTGAAACGTACATCTAAATTTTGTTATTTTGAGTGGAAAATATTTTATAATTTTTTCGCATATTATTATTATTATCATCATCATCATCATCATCTTTTTCTATGATCTATAATATATATTAAAATATCACATTAAGTGAGAATCAATTTTTGGACGATTTTAACCCTGCTACTATTCGATTATTTCATTGATACCTTATTTTTTTTATGTAATAAATATTACATAATTATTGTCATTTATGAAATCTGTGTTACTCAGTTAATTAATATTCACATTAATTTAGATTCATTGAATTTTCATATAGATGAATTTATCTAGAAATTTAATGAGTGTATTTATGTATTAACAATTAATTTATATGTATCAAATGTAATATAAAAAAATTGCTCATTTATAGTATTTTATCTTTGCAAAAAATATGAATTATAAAAATTGAGTTTTGAGAGTACAATTAGAGTAATTTTCTTTACTCAAAATTCTATAATAAATTTTATGTTCTTTAATTCGTCCGAGACTCATCAAATTCCAATAAATTTGTAATTTTAGAATAACGTGCAATGCACGTTAATATCTGACTAGTTATCTACAAAATATCAGATAGTCTTTTTTCTCAAATATTACAAACGTGAACGCACCAAACACAGACACCGTTCATTAATAAAAGAGAAAAAGCATTAAATTGCCCCCCAAGACACATCTAAGTTGACGGAACAATCATATTGGGGGGCTCTGGAACCAAGCGTGGGGAGTTCGATTCCTGATGGGAACCTTTGATCCAATAAAGGAGGAATTATTGGTGGATTAATCACCATGGAGGAGGTTTCTTTTGGGGAAGGAGTAAAAGTCATGTGGGAACCTGGGAACCAACAAGGGCACATCCTGCGATTTACCTCCCTGAGCAGCTGAGGGGCCGGACGTTTAGGGACGAGGATATATAGTCTGGCGCAAGTTGGGACACCTCGTTAAAAAAAAAAAGCATTAAATTACCAAAAATGTAAAGAAAAAAATAATTAAAAATAGTTGAAAGCGTCGGTCCATGTAGTCATAAATAGTCTACCAAAAATCCCTCTGTACCATTGAATGAATACGAAATGTTGCTTTTACGTCCTATAAATCATCTCATTTTATTCTCGTTGTCATTCACATTCTCTCTCTAATCAAGATTTTCTAGAGAGAGAGAAAGAATATACACACATATATATATAGAGAGAGAGAGAGAGAGTAATCATTTTGCTTCATAAAATAAGAGAAAATGGGAGGTTGTGCGACCAAGCCAAAGGTGTCGAAAGGCGATGAACCAGAGGCTTCGCCTCCTGTTTCGAAGGAGGAGGTAGAGGAAAAAGAGGTGGCGACAGTGGGAGAAGTGGCGGCTAAGGATGAAGGGGTGGTGATTGATAACGATACCAAGCGTCAATCCCTTGGTTTTCTATTCGAGGTAAAATATATTAATGCATGGTCAATTATTCTTTTTATGTTCATTAACTTTTCAATCTTGAATTCTTGTTTTTTTTTTTTTTTTAATAGGAAATGTGATTGATTATCATTTAGATTTTGGATAGAAATGTGTGTGTATATCTATGAACAATTTGAAAGTGGAGATGTTTTATAAGCAAAGAAACAAATATTTTTTTGTTTAAATGATGTTGAGAGAATTCAAAGCATACAGAAAGCATAAGCCAATTGGTCATGAGTTGCTTTGTTGTTAAATTAAATTTCCAATTCAACAAGTACATCTTGGGTAGGAAGCGTTGGATAGTTACTATTGAATCATCGATTTCTTTCATTCTCCCTTTTCATTTTCTTGGTTATAACTTATTGAACAACTTCTTCTTAAGCATTAACTGTGCTTATTTCCCCTCAAGACGAGAGTCATTTCTTACAAAATAATATGTTTATTACGTGAAATCTTTAACACAACATTTCGCCTTTTAAAAGCTTATCAATTCTTGGTGTTATGATCTAGAATTTTGAAATTAAACGAATGCAACATGTAGTTGGTTTTTATATCGAATTCTTAATTTCATTGTTTATGTTTATTCAACTTAGCAATTTTTTTTTTTTCAAAGATTCTCATAATCCTTCGAGCCGTTAATTGTTGTTATCTTTGTTTAATTATCAACTATATAATATTTGCGTAAATTAATTTATTAATTATCCTTAAACTCGTGAAGTCTTAGTGATAAAGTTTGAAAGTTTATTGGATCTTGGTTTAAGGACAATTAAACAGCTCATTTTATGACCCACAACATGTCTTTTTCCCTTTGTTCATGTTTTTCACTCCATTTTTCTGCGTGTTTTGTTCTTACTGTTGTAAAATAAGTGATACCAGGCTGTCTAGCTTTTCTAGTAACGCTTATTTTTATGTTGCTTTTAGAGAGAGATTGATCTACTCGTTTCGATAATCTATGGGCATGTTTGGTACTCTGTAATGAACAGCATTGTACCATAAACGTGTGGGACTAATGCTTTTTGTTTCCCGTGTCATGGAAAGACTTAGAATAGCTCCTTCTAGGGAGTTTTAGCTATAGGTTACACTTGAACGCGACTATCTTATCTCTTCAAATACTCAAAAACAAACTCCTTGGCAGACGGGGGCGGGAGTGACGATCGCTCCTGCAACATTCGAAAATTTTGTTAAGTTATGTAGAAAACTTTAAATTGTTTTAATATATATACACACAAAATACATATATATTTTACCTCTTCAACAATTTTTCATCCCACATCATTGAAATCATGGCTCTACTGCTGCTCCTTAGCTTAGCACTATCCCCCTCCAGGGATTTAGCGGCAAGCTCTATCACAACTGGACTATCTTATAATAAAATCCTATTTTCCTATCATCACATTAATTTTCTAATAAAGTCAAGGAAAATGGACAAAAAATTAACTTTGTTTTCTATGATGTATTATCCCCCGCAGCTTACCTGAGAGACTGGTAACTGCTGATAACATTATCTTGGTCGTAATCTAATTAGTAGGCAAAACACTTGCATGAGTATACGGATTTTCTCAAGTAAATATAAGTATAATTAGATCCCTTTGAAAGTCAAACATTAAATTTAACCAAACATTCAAGATTTAATTCATTATTATACGTTCATTTCATGAGATCCACTATTCCTCTTATCGTTCCTATTTATAAACCATTTTATAAATTTTCAAAATGGATTTTTTACTTGAACATATAGGAAACCAAGTTTTGAGAGGAAGGGTGCATTAAAATTAAATTTACCTATTGTAGTTGTTAAGCATCTAATTTTAGTATATATGAACCGAACCGATGGAAATAACGGATTAAATCATGTATTCAAGCCCAAATTAAGTGGGAACGTAGCTTAATTTGATGTTGTTGTTACTCTGAGCCTTCAACATATACGCCATGTTTAGTACAATGGACCGAACAAGACAAAAGACTTGTGTATTTCTTATTTCAACTCATTTAGTGCAGTAGAGCATATTTATATGTCAATGTTGCATTGGAACTCTGATTCATGTCCAATAGCCATTTCAAATGGTCAAATTATCAGATGTTAATAATATAATCCTTGGACATATCATCTGAGATAATCAAAATTGTTTTAATGCTTATCCAGAACGACGGGAAGCTGGAATCAAGTGAAAGCGATAAATCAACTAATGAACTAGTAGACCTAACATCATCTGAAACCAGACAAGCTTCTGATGTACTGGCCGAAGCTAAGCCTCAAGAAAACGTGCACGTAAAATCTTCAGAGCTGGTTGCTTCTACTGAGCCCTCGAATGAAAAGAAAGAAATTGTAAAACCAACTGCAGACAGTTTAGAAACTGAACCATCTGAGACGATAAAAGAAGTGAAATCAGTGGAGAATGCAAAGGTCGATACACTAGAGGAAAAGAGACCGGAGGAGAAACCTATCACGCCTGATCAGACAAACAGTTTAGAAACTGAAACATTGCAGAAGGTAACAGAAGATAAACAAGTGGATACTAAGGCTGAAACAGCTGAGGAAAAGAAAATCGAAGATAAACCTATTACGTCTGATTAGAAGACAGAGAAGTGAACGGGGGATGTGCTGTGAAGAATGGCTATGAAGATTAAGAAACTTTGATTCGAGTAATTTAGATAAATTCTTTCTTGTTATATGATAAAAAGGATGTTCAAGTGCTAAGAGGTATGTATAAGTCAGCAATGGAAGATTATTAACAAATTTGAAGGATGCAGACAACCTTCTGCCATTATAGAATTAAGTAACTTATTATGGCATATATTATTGCTTTGTTTCTTCCTATTTGAATAGATTTGGTAGCCGATCCACATCATAAGTTTTTGTGAAGGGACTATCCTTCTGTTTGCCAAGGTACTATCCTCTCTACTTTAGTCAGCCAAAGGGACAGGGATCTTTTGGCTATGCAATGTTCACGACTATGCCCCCCCCCCGAGTTAACCACTTATTTTTTGCGGATGATTCTATTGCAGAAGCTCTCTTGAAAGATCTTCAAATCGGTGATTAATGGCTTAGTCCAACGTACCTTTCTCAACCAAAAACTAATCCAATCGGCTCCAAACCACAACCAATTAATTCACCTCGGTTGTTATTTAATCTTACCCACATAGGGCAAGAAAAGATGATGATTTGTGGCCACAAAGGTTAAGAGAAGACACTACAAAGGTATACTATGAAGAAACCACCAATTGTACACGTTAAACAGGCATTTTGGACACTTCGAAAGGCCTTTTTTCACATACAAAGAGTGCAGCCGGGATTCCCTTTTTCTTCTCACAAACCCACACAAAACATCATTAGAAAGTGGTTAGGGTTATAGCCATATATATACTCTAGGGTTAAGCTTTAAGTTGGACCTTTAAAAAGGTAAACGGGACAAGATTCAAACCATCCAAGAGAGAATATAATTGGGCCAAGTGTAGTTCATGGACATGATTGTTGGACTTATTTCATTCATCGGCCTATACCTATGAATAATATTAACCCACATTAATATCATAGCTCAGAATTTAATGGGTATCAAAAACCCAACAAATCTCCACCTTGATGCTCAATAAATCTACAAGCAATCAAAACACACAGTTAGTACTTGCATAATCAAGGTGACCAATAAAATTGGATCACAAACCTTATATCGTGTTTCCAACATGAAACACATACCATACCTGCTCCATGTACTCACTGAGGCTAAGGTAAAAAAATACCCAAGTAGAAGCAAATATTTAACTGTAAACAATCAAGAGCAAATACATATGCGAAGACGATAAACTATAGGATAACATATATAGATATTTTCAGAAACACGTTCATATAGAACCATAGATTAACACCAAGTCAATCAAATCACGGCCAACCACATATGCAACACATACATCAATGACTCTACGAAAAGATCTCATCACATTTATCCTATTCCATTCTGTGTTGTTCACACTTCGAGAACACTTATCTCCTCTCATCGCCTGTCAAGCTCACTAGACTAATCACCCAACTCATGTCTAACTGGTAGGTCACAATAGATTCTAAGTCCATGGGATAATCCTCTATCTCCGCATCACTTCTCCCAACCTACGTGAATAATGGGTCTCCACCTAACAAAAGTGATAGAAGTGTCTCTCTCACACTCCACCTGATCAGGGTCTCTTTACAGATAAATGATTTTAGATATTTGATCACATCTACACTCGTGATCCAAAAGACACACTCCACATCCCCGGTACAAACCACAATGTACCCTTAAACATCTACACTCCACCTCACCAAAAGACACACAACACACTGCTAATGCATCCTAACCCACTATGCATGCAAGCAATTACACCAAATAATCTTATTGTCTCAAATTTATGCAAATGCACATATCTAACACATTGAAATGTAGCAGACATTCATGCAACAAAATTTAGACAATCACACATATGTAGAAAGGATCACACACAGATGCATATGCAATAATTATGTTTACGCTTAATAAACCTCACTAGCGTCATACCAAATTCGTCTCACTTCTCATCTTACCCTTTATCTTATCCTTCTTTTTGGGACAGTCCCTAACAAAAAGTGTCCAGACTGTCTACCACTAGACTTGTCCTGCCCTTTGCCCTTCTTCTTACTACCCTCATCATTCGAGTCACTACCTCCTTGAGTTTTACCCAAATTCATTTGCTTAAACTTCATCATACTTCTTATCATGTGTAATTTACCACTCCTCTTATATTCATTTTCAACCTTAATTTCTATCTCCTTACTCCTAAGTGAGTCTATGACAATCTCGATTTTAAGGTGTCCTTACCAAACTTAATTGCATTCTTAACTTCCCTATATGAACCACGCATGGAATTAAGCAAGATAATAGCCTTATACATTTCAGATACAATTTTTTCACAGTTAACAATATCTTGAACAAGTTTATTGAAAACATCCAGATTGTTGTCAAGATCCTTTGAAGGATCCATCTTAAAACTGAAGAAACGCTCAAGAAGATAAAATTTATTGAGAGTAGATTTAAGTAAATACACATCTTCCAACTTTTTTCAAAGATCTTTTGTGGTATTCAATTCTCCTATTTTTCCCAAAATAGCATCAGACAGGTGTAAAATGAATGAGGTATAAGCAAGCTCATCGGCTTCTTCTTTTTGTTCTTTTGAAAAATTAGATGGAGGATTGCCTTCAATAGCTTTTGAAACCTTTTGTTGGACCAAAATACCCTTCATTTTTTGTTGTCGGATTAAAAAATCACATTTTCCATTAAAAATACCAACTTCGAAATGCAAAGACATTTTTGAAAAAATGAAGTAATCAAATGCATAAATAGGTCACACAAAGTAATCCTATGGCCGCAATATACATCGTTCTAGATTACAGGATTTCGTAAGACTCGCAGTCTTAGATCAATGGAATATTCGAACGGGTCAAGTCTAGATATTCTAATGGGATAATTAATGCAAACATGAAGATATGTAAACAAAAGTTTGAATTTTTACGCAACAAGTCTCACACATTGTCTATATGAAAGATAAATCAAAAAATCAACTACCAACTTGCAATCAAAGTTCAACACTTCAAATAGAACAAATAATTCCTAAATTTTCTAGTACAAACAATGGTTACCAAGCAATGACAACCCCCTAATCCTATTGATCACCCTACACGATGATCTGCTAGTGAGATAATGTAAGTATTTCAGCCAATTTACCAAAGAGGATCAATCTGAGTCCGTAAATTATGAGGCACGCGAATTTAACACTTTAGGACCACCACTAATCGTCCTAAAGTCTCTGAAACCTGCAATAAAAATCACGATCAAGGTCTGCACGTCCGAAGAACAACACTGACTTGATTCTACTGCAGACCCTGAAATAGAAAACTTTCAACACGAAAAATGTTAGAAATAATGTGAGGAACAAACTGCCTGAAGAGACCGTTGCGAGATTTCCTCTCACGCGTGGCTCTACCTCTCTATGCGTGGGCCTCACTCCTCGCCATTTTCGACATTCGCCGCCCTGCAGGGTTTATCTCCACCTGCACATTGCGAAAGCTCTCTTGAAAGATCTTCAAATCAGTGATTTTCGGGCTCTGTCCAACTTACTTTTCTCAACCAACAACCAATCAAATCGACTTCAAACCACAACCAATTAATTCATTTCAGTTGCTATTCAATCTTACCCACGCGAGACAAGAAAAAATGATGATCAGTGGCCATAAAGGCTAAGAGAAATCACCACAAATGTATACTATGAAGGAACCACCAATTGCACACGTTAAACAAGTGTTTTAGACACTTCTAGAGGCCTTTTGTTCACAAACAAAGGGGACAGCCGGGATTCCCTTTTTCTTCTCACAAAACCACACAAAATATCATTATAAAGTGGCTAGGGTTATATATATATATATATTATAGGGTTAGGCTTTAAGTTGGCCGTTTAAAGAGGTAAACGGGCCAAAATTCAAGCCATCCAAGAGGGAATATAATTGGGTCGGGTGTAACTCATGGACTTGGTTGTTGGACTTATTTCATTCATCGGCTAATTCTTATGAAATAATATTAACCCACATTAATATCATAGCTGAGATTTATTGGGTATCAAAAACCCAACAGATTCTATTCTCTTTGTCAGGGCTATGGCATAGAATGCGACTACACTCCTGAATATATTGTACATCGTGAGGTTGCTTATGGATTGATGGTGAACTTGGAATAATCCTCAATTACATTTAGTATGTATTTGATTGGCTTTATTTTTCATAAAAATTTATTTCTTTCTATGCAAATTTCATGCTTGCAATCAAATACGTCCTTAATCCTAATGTTGGGAAGCATTATAGAATCAGTTGGCCCTGGTTAAGGCCAGTGAACATGGAAAATATTTGGGTTTGCCATCTATTAGCTGTGATTAAGGAGTTCATCTATAATTATGCAATCTATTTCCCTTTACAGAATATTTTGCCCAAACATAGGTGTAACTCATGGACTTGGTTGTTGGACTTATTTCATTCATCGGCTAATTCTTATGAAATAATATTAACCCACATTAATATCATAGCTGAGATTTATTGGGTATCAAAAACCCAACAGATTCTATTCTCTTTGTCAGGGCTATGGCATAGAATGCGACTACACTCCTGAATATATTGTACATCGTGAGGTTGCTTATGGATTGATGGTGAACTTGGAATAATCCTCAATTACATTTAGTATGTATTTGATTGTCTTTATTTTTCATAAAAATTTATTTCTTTCTATGCAAATTTCATGCTTGCAATCAAATACGTCCTTAATCCTAATGTTGGGAAGCATTATAGAATCAGTTGGCCCTGGTTAAGGCTAGTGAACATGGCAAATATTTGGGTTTGCCATCTATTAGCTGTGATTAAGGAGTTCATCTATAATTATGCAATCTATTTCCCTTTACAGAATATTTTGCCCAAACATAATTGTATTTCCGTAGATATCATATTCTTGGTGTATTATATATACACCAATGTACCATGTACCAAATCAATGAAAATTGTTTCATTCATATGAAAGTTAACATGGTATCAGAACATTAGGTTTCGAAAACCATACCTTGCCTCTGCCATGGCCGATCCTGTTCCTGCCGTTGTCTTGGATACCACCAAATCTCTTACAGATGCTTCTTCCCCATATTACGTGCACGCATCTGATCAACCAAACCAACTCCTTGTTGATGCTCCTCTAAATGGAGACAATTATCCTACTTGGCGCCGATCGGTAACACGCGCCTTGAATGCCAAAAAAAAAATTAGGATTCATCGTCGGCA